CTCTCCGATCGATTCAGGGCTATGAGAATCATTATTACATCAGTATCGACAGAATGTATCAGGTTCATCACGGCATGTGTACTCACCAGACAGCAGCGCTCGGCATCTTGCGCTTCGACTCGTCATTTTCATAAAGCTCGTACGGATCGATATAGTGCGCCAGTGCGTCCCCGATGAATACTTGGGTCTGACCGACTATGGCGACGAGATCATGCAACGCTGTCTCGAAGTCGGCTCGGGTAACATTTGGCGGTAGCACCGGTTTGATCGGCGCAATTTTGGGCGGGGCGAACGTTTTTTGGTGCGCGCGGTCATATTCAGGGTCTGCATAGGTATTCACGGGTAATTTGGACGTCATGACGGGCTATCCTTCGTAGGCGATTTTTGTTTGGCTGGGACATCCAGTGTCGCTGTCGGAGTCCTATATATCATTCTGTGGTCATGGAAATCAACGACGACAGTCAGTAGGTAACCCCCCAATTACCCGTTCCAGCTGGCCAATACCGATCCACTTGTCACCTACTCGTTGGAGAAGACTTGCACCCCATGGGAGCTCAGCTCCACATGTCGCCGAGATATTATTATAGTACCGCGAAGGGTTATACCACTTAGGGCCTTCCTTTGGAGAAAAGTGCTTAAGGGTTGACCGAGGGGTTATTATGGTTTGCCTGGCTACGGATGGAGAATCAAAACGACCTGATGCCCACACCAGCCCCGATGAGGAAGGTATACCGCGGACAGGAACAAGCCCAGGGATATGACGGATGATCCCTCCTTTAGTATGCCCCAAACCATTAGGGGAAAGGGACTGATAGTCTATACGTTATGTAATAGGAAAATAAATGTTAGGGACATTCGAGTGTGTTACGAAACGGCCTAAAGGCTGACCATCGACCATTTTGGGGGGCAGGCAGGCAGGCTAGCTGAAAAGAAACCCGTGACTACGAATATTCATATGTTGTGTTATCCCAGCCTTGATCCGTCTGCCCACGGTCATCTGGAGTCACCCCTCAATTATGCGTGCCGCTGCCAAGATTGGAAAACAGTACTTCTTCGACCTGAGCGTTTCCTAGTCTATCGCCAGCCGTATTCGAGTAAGAACGGACACAATGCATTCGGTTGGGGAAGGAGGCAGTACGATGGTAACTCAAATGTTGTAACTAAAACCTTAAATAATACGAGAAACTGAATACACGAAGGCACCGCGGCCGCGTTACTGGGGGCGGGCTGGTCCAGTTCGTAACAACGAGGGTTTGATGGAATTGCTGTCTCTGCAAGAAGGAAGCTATGAACCTCGTGACCAGGAACTGCAGAGTTTGAAGCAAAACACTCCATGTCCCGCAAGACAACCATCTTCTATTTTCCAACAGCCGCGACTGCCGTCATGTCCGAAGCTATCCCAGAGCATCGGTGTCGGGGTCATACATTACACCATCACACCCATTGACACGATCGACCTGTTCGGTGTCCTAGGACTTGGACTCTATGCCGGTAAAGGCAAAGTTCTTGTATGCTGGGAACCTCTCCTCTGGATCCCATTGCGCTCGAACCTTCAGCCATTTCTGAAGGTTTGCCTCGCTCATCACCTGGACGAACGAAGTCTCGATTAGCAGTGTTCGCGCAACGTGTGGAACTCCGTAGGCTGGCTTACCTTTTCTTTCCGATGAGTTACGTCGTAGTCTGCAATATATTGGCCAACGCCAACAGCAGAGGCTTTGGAGTATTGATCATACATCCACTCCCTCATGCGAGTGTCGTCCGTTGGATCGGTCCAGCAAGTCATCGTCGACATGTAGTACTGCTGCGGTAGGCTTCCGGCCATGTCGGCAGCATCGGGGTAGCACTCGGCGATGTATATACAACCCACTGACCGCCGTGACGGCAAGTCGCACATGGGCCCCTCCATGGTCCGAACCAGCTAGAAACGAACAAGTCAGTAACGCGCTCAATAGACTGGGAGGTAATGGGAGTAGTTTACCTCTTCTCGAGAGACCTTCGGGCTGCTGAGGATGCTATCACATTGCCAGCGCTCGCCCTGGCCGCAAGGGTTCAGAGCATCTTGGTCATCAAAGAGTCGTTTCCAGGTCTTATGCTGGAGATCTGTTTTTACTACGAGTAATTTCTTCAGATCCTCCGGAATCTTGTCATACTCGCTGAGCATAGTTCTTGCTTCTCCTTCTGAATCAGCGTACGCTATCACCTCAATGGCCATAAGCAGTGTTTTGTCGGTAATTTCGTCGCCAAGAGGGAGCGAATTCTTGTTGGCATAGATAGTTGCGGCGGCTGTCTCGACGCCATATCTCGGGGTGCGGTCGTTGGTGTCCAGCATCCATATGCAGATCTTCCTCCAGTTGTTAGAAGCGTTGAAGATCAATGTCGTAGTGTACAACTGACGGGCGGGCATTGTTCGGGCCCAAAATCTAGTTACTATGCCAAAGAACCCTTGGCCACTTCCTCGTGCAGCCCAGAAGAGATCCGTGTTTTTCTCTCGGCTAGCAATCACGACCTGCCCTTCCGCCGTAACAATCTCCATCTCGAGGATCCAAGAGTCAGAAGTCAGGCCCCAGCCTCGACAAAACCATCCTTGTCCCCCACAAAGCAAGAAGCCGCCGGCGGCGACGGTCGGCGAGTGTCCAAAGGGGAAGAACCGATTTAACCCAGTGCACGCCTCCGCGAGCTCCTTGGAGATACGGCCAGGACCAAAAGAGATAATTTTCGTACTTGCATCATAATCGATCGAGGAGTTCAGATGCTTGACATCAATAAGCAGACCGCCTTCCAGAAGGGAGCAGCATGGGAACAAGTGGCCACCGGCGCGGACACCGATGGGTTGCCCGAGAGCAGCCGCCTGTTTCACTGCTTTGACAACATCTGCAGTCGTTGACGGACAGGATATTGCAGCTGGCATAGCTGCCGGTACGCGAGCGTTGAAATACCTCGTTCGAAGTTCCTCATATTGGCTATGATCACGGCCAATGTACTTGTGCTCGTCGCTCAAAGAAGTTGGTGACATCTTGTTGATTGTATCGCTGAATGTGCAAAGTCACTGACTTGCGCGCACCATTTACGTTCTCCTTTGTATCAGTTCTTTCCCGCATCGCCATGTTGGTTGATATGGGATGGGCAATCTACGTCCTAGCTCGTGGGGAGGAGGCCTCCAGAGGGTTTGCACGAACCCCACAAAGGGTAAGTTTCAGTTGGGATTAGGAGCTGTTCCACCAATACTGACCCCACATATATCTTTGGGTGACCACCAGTTCACCAGCTTATTTGGGAGGGGTGTGCAGTTTGTTCCGACCAGCACGCTGTGGGATTGAAGGCAACACTGCCAATTAATAACGCAGCATCCACCACCCCCAGATTTTCCATTCTGCACTTCGGTGTCATGTCTAACCCCGAGAACAAAGCCGTACAATCTTCTGTCCAAGCCTCCAAATCCAACCTCCGACCCTAACGAGACCCCACAGAGGTGGTGTCTATGCACGGTGCAATCCATGGCGTGACCGGGCAGCAGAGGAGGTCTGGGTTGTGCACGGAAATTTCCCTGAACGGGCGGCGGTCATCTGCAGCCATACCGCATGCATCGGCACAAGAGTTTGATCGTTGGCAAAGGGAACGCTGCGTTCAGGACTCTTCCTTGTGTGTAGCTGCTATCTCTCCTTGAATATACGGCATGAGAAGGGGATTGCTGCACTGGAGCTGTAGGAGTTCTCTAACTGATGCAAATCACTGAGTAACCACATTGTCTGGGGGTTTGCCGGCACGACTCGATCCAACAACCAAATCCAACCTCCGTACGATCGAGGAATTTCTATGACTGTCTCTCTGTCCTAAGCCGGGGCTACAAGCCAATGACGTAGTGACACGCGAAGAACGAAGGCACTCGGAATGGTTTGTGCCTTGAGTGCAGCTGCAGCTGGCTTGTGTAAAGTCTGGGCGTGGTCGTATTGGTGTTTCGGTTCAGCCACCCAGGGGCCTACATTCAAGCTGAAAATCTGGCGATAAGATACCCAATGGTACAATAATTGCCTGTGAGTACCTCACCGGTCAGAATAGTAACAACTAGAAGATAGGTCTTTGATTCACCCTGCGCAAAAAGGGCAAGATTGTGTATTGGCGTCGCATACGGACACTCACACCGGAGCGATGCAATGGGTATTCATAAATGGACGAGCGAATTGGTCTCATGCCAGAAATTCACGCCCCGACTGTTCACCGCTGCCAACTCTGTAGGAGGCTTCAAATATCACACCCAATGGTGATCTTCAGAGAATGAATCGCTTTTGGCATGCCCCGCGTCCGCGGACTCGCAATTCCGTGCCACGAAAGGAAGCGAGAGGGGCGCCAAGGAGGTTTAATTCCACTACAATCACAAGAGACCACTGTTAAGGATGCCTGAGAGTCAAGGGTTAGTTCCACGTGAGCATTACAAAGGACTTCACAGCCCAACCTAACTGGAGGCCATCTCGGTCGCGAGCAAGAAGCAGTCTAGCCAAAAGAGCATCCTTACATTTGCACTAGTCCCAAAGCACCATCATTGGGTGGGGAAATTATCGACGACGAGGTGCCTGACTAAGTCATCACGTGAAAGTCCCCTTTTTTCCAACCAGGCGAGTATATGATTCACCGTTGTTGACCTTGCCTCGGAATTTAGATTATCCGGCAAGTTAAGTTTTGGTCGAGACTTTCCTGAACTCCTACCTAACTCGCAATGTGACATGGTATAGAGCCATATCTATACAAGTATTCGCTCATGGGCTATGTTCGGCCACTGAATGTGCCCATCTCAGCTAAAGTCCACACAGTTTTTACCCAAACGTCTCTGTCACTATCGGAGAAAATATGCCCGCCAAGCCGAGTTTGAAAGCAACAGGATGATAAGCCTCTGATAAAGCCGAAGTATAAGGATTGGTCCATGTGAGCCGAGGAGTCATTTTCACCTTGACGCGCTGTGAAGTCGGGTCATTTTCTGAGATTCTAGCATCCTGTTCGAGGGCCTGATGGGCATAGAAGCTGCTCCCGACCATCCAGAAGGCTCGATCCAATCTGCACCCCCAAGCGCTTTGCGATGGACGGACGAGCATGATCCAGAGAACCCGTAAGTGAAGCGAGCCAGCTCTGACCCCTGACGAGTTCTTATTGGTATGCTAGATTCAACTGGCCAGCGACGACGCGATGGAGAGTGGTAGGTCTGGCATGTTACGTGTGAGTCACAGCAAGCTACGTCGAGCGTATCATCAACCTGATAAAACGTTTAGTACTTTTATTGTTGGATGGAATGCCACCACCATCTCGGGCGCAGCGCTGGAAATCAGCGAATACTTCGGCGTCAGTGATGAGCACTTCCCCAATTCATTCTGGCCCGTTACGTCTTGGGCAACCGGTGCTGCGATTGCCCCTATGATTGTGCTGCCTATTATGGAGGATTTTGGCGTTCGTCCAGGTTACCTGGTGAGTGTCATTTGCATAGATTCCAGGGCAATGACCGGTACTCTATACTGACAGGTATCGGGAGGTTAGGTCTCATATTTCACGTTTTCAATCTTCGTCATCCCGCAAGCTGTGGCCAAGAATTTCGCGACACTGATCGCCACTCGCTTCTTCGCTGGCTGTTGCGCTGGAATCCTACAGGATGGGACCGACGGCATTGTCGCCGACTTGTTCCCCAGTCCTGTGAAGCGAAGCCTACCGATCAGCTGTTACGTGTTTTCCCTGCTCGCAGGTGTTACAATCGGTCCAGTCATTGGCGGTGCGATCAACGCACACTTGAATTGGCGATGGTACGAGACTATCCGGTAACACGAAGGGTGAAAATCTCCTGCTGACTCCCAGCTCAGGATATTCTACAGCCAACTGTGCATCTACTTTGGCTCACTCCCGTTTGTGTTCTTCCTCATGAAAGAAACTCGGGGTCCTGTCATCCTGTTGAAGCGGGTCAAAAATGCACCTAATCAAGAACCATCCAATATCTCCGAGCTGGAAAAACAACAGCATCACGTCAATATTCTGCAGTTCGTGAAGGACAACGTTGTACGGCCCGCCTATATGCTCGTCACGGAGCCGGTTGTCTTCTTCTTCACCCTCCTGACCGCACTATCCTACGGTATCGTCTTCGTCTCGTCGCAGAGCGTGGCCCAAGTCTTCATGACGCTGTATGGCTGGCCAGAGCACCAAACCGCCTACATGCAATCGGCGGTCGTGGTCGGCGAATTCCTCGGCCTCCTCATATGCCTGTACCAGAATCACCTGTTCGAAAAGGCGTTCCGACCCGAAAGTCGCACACCCAAGTCTCGACTGCCAGAAGTCCGCCTGTACATGAGCATTCCCGGCTCTTTCATCGGACTGAGCGGCGGACTCTTCTGGTACGGCTGGACAAGCTACAGCTCGTTGCATTGGATCCTGCCCGCCATCGGCCTGACCCTCACCGGCATCGGCAGCATGGTGGTCATGCAGGCCGTCATGATGTATCTGACGGATGCTTATGCAAAGTATGCTGCGAGTGCAAGCGCCGCCGCCTGCGCGGGAGAAAACGTCTTTGCCGCATTCTTGCCTCTGGCGGCTCAGGCAATGTACACCAACCTCGGTTTTCACTGGGCGAGCAGTGTTCTGGCCTTTATTGCTCTCGCCTTGAGCTTCGCGCCTATAGTGCTCATTTTCTACGGTGAGACTATCAGGAAATGGAGCCCGTTCATGTCTCAAGCCACGTATGAATGAATAGCCGGTAGAACTGATGGGAATCTGGTGAGAAGCTGCTACTTTAGATGTAAATAGCCCAGCAGAGCAAGTTCCGGAGTCGCTCCCGAGTTTTCAACCGTGGCTATAGAACTAGATGTGTGCCTCATATATTACCGAGTCGTGAAACCTCGGGTGCAAGGGTCGAATCCCTCTTGCGCTGGAAGATCGATTGGCCAAAACCAAGATAAGCTTATCGAGCGAGTTTCGGGAGGGGCAGCACCAGAGACGGTGAGATGTCGGAGGTGTGCACCATCTTCTATGTTCCTGTAATTCGATATTTCTACGCTCGACGACATATTCTTGCGTGAAGTCGTGGCCACCAGTCCGACAACATGGCCTGCATGGGTAGTGCTGCCGGCGATCGACCCTCTTGCTCAACCTCCGAGGTTCAAACTCACCGTGTTTCTGATTCTGCCCCGAACCCTCCTACCGGCGGTTGTTGCGTCGACTGTGGCAGTGGTCGAACTGCATGTGACGGTAGGTGCTTTGTTCGTTTGTTTCCTGGCTCACCTTAACAGACATACACAGATGGTTGCATCCGTAAGATCGCTGCAATCGAATGTCGTGCCACTTGCGGAAACCAACCCAGAAACATTCCTCCCCTTGACCTTGATGAGTGTCCCGAAAAATGCTGCCGGGATGCTGGAAGCAGCGCCACTGTCAACAAGAAACCCGTACCCGAGTCTACCTCACGCAACCGAGAAGACGCTTGTCACAGCCGCCGCACGAACATTCAAGGACCGAGCGATATCACTGCCAAGAAGAAAGAGCCGTGTGGTAGCACAGGGAGCATTACAGCGTGTGGTGGTGGTAAGCCTAACCGCGGCGCTCCTTGCTCTGGTGGGAGAAAGACAAAGTCTATAAACAAAAGGGACGGTGAGAGCTGTGGAAGTGGCTGCCAGATCGATACGGCTTCTGAGAAAGACACATGCTGTGCCAATAAGCCGGGACTTCACAACTCCGCTCAAGAAGACGACAGCTGCTGTGCTTCGAAACCAGCCACTGGCTGTTCTGAGAAGAAAGACTCTTGCTGCGCTAAGGAAGCAGACGCCTGTTGCGCCGAGAAGGAGGACACCTACTATACCGAGAAGCAAGATGCTTGCTGTGCCAAGAAGGAAGACGCCTGCAGTGCTAAGGAAGCAGACTCCTGCTGTGCCCAGGAAGATACCTGCTGCGCTAAGAAAGAAGACACCTGCTATGCCGAGAAGGAAGACGCCTGTTGTGCTGAGCAAGAGGACACCTGCTGTACTGGCAAAAAGGAAGCTCTGATTTCTCAGGCGCCAATCGATGGTTGCAAGCAGGGCTCCTCATGTTGTGATATCAGCACTTCAAGCAAAGCGAAGGACCTCTCGCCAGCTCCTTATGAAGGAAAGCGGCAGCAGACGACAGTCGATACTTGCATTCACCATCTTCAAAAAGCATTTGCTGAATATTCCAGTTATATCGAGAAAGGCCGGTGTATTTGCCGCAGTGTTCTCGATCGCCTCGACACCTGCTGCGGAGAAGTTGTTCCTAAGAAGGCCATCACTGACGACCTGACTTCCTCGTTCGGAAAGTCAACTGCACTTGCAAGCACCCAACAGCTTCCAGTTCGCCGTCAAGCGTCACGGGCGTGCGGGAAAAGTTGTTGCGATAAGACGGCTCAACGCAATAAGGCCGAGGTGCAGTCCTGTTCGCTCGACAAGGTCGAGATATCAAGTGATTGGTCTAGAAAATCGATCAATGTCAGAACGAAGGAGGTTGATGTCGAAGATGCTGCTGCTCGCGAACATGTTCTTCTCAGTGTTGCTGGCATGACGTGCACAGGCTGCAGCAGAAAAGTGTCCAACGTTCTCAAAAACATAGATGGTCTATCCTCGATCAAAGTCACCTTTGTGACTGCTTTGGTTGAATTTGATCTCAACACTTCGATCACAAACTTGGAACAATTGATTCCACCTATGGAGAAAGAGACCGGGTTCAAGTTTTCCAGGATCATAAGCAACTTCCAGTCGTTGGACTTGAGAATCGATCGCACTACTGCTACACATGCCAAAGAGGATCTTGAAGCCCTGTCCGAATCCGTTGAACAGCTCGACAAGTTTACTTTTCGTGTCAACTACGATCCGACTATCATTGGTGCACGAAAACTCCTGTCGTCTATCAGGGGAGCAAGTCTTGTTCCACCACAGAATGACGCCAAAACAGCTGATGGCAGGCGGCGTCTTGTCAAGATGGCTTGGTTCACGGCACTAGCTACGGTATTGACGATTCCTGTTGTCGTATTGGCATGGGCTCACACTCCCGTGCCGTATACAACCCGATCAATCATCTCACTGGTTCTTGCCTCACTCGTTCAGGGTCTCGCAGTCCCCGAATTTTACGCAGGCGCGATGAAGTCACTCATATACAGTCGGGTCCTCGAGATGGATATGCTGATCGTCATCAGTATAACCGCTGCCTACGTCTATTCGGTGGTCGCTTTCTCTCTCACGCACGCCGGATTCACCTTGGAAATTGGCGAGTTTTTCGAAACCAGCTCTCTGCTCATCACTTTTGTTCTTCTTGGGAGGCTGGTGGCCGCCATGGCAAAAGTAAAGGCTGTCTCTGCTGTTTCTCTGCGGTCACTGCAGGCGGAAAAGGCGCTGCTCGTTGAATCTCCGCAAGAAACTATTGAAATTGACTCAAGACTGTTACAGCTTGGTGACGATTTTGTTATACCTGCCCACAGCCGTATCGTGACAGACGGTTATGTGATCCACGGGCAATCTTCTGTCGATGAGTCTATGATCACGGGCGAGAGCGTCCCAATACCAAAAGCAAGCGGTGATAAGGTCATAGCAGGTACTGTCAACGGCCCTAGTCCGCTTACCATCCGCTTGACGCGTCTGCCCGGCAAGAATAGCATCACAGATATCGTCAACTTGGTTGAAAACGCTCTGGCGAGCAAGCCTCGCATCCAGGATCTTGCTGACAAGGTGGCGGGATACTTCATCCCAGTTGTCATCTCGATCGCTCTTGTTACTTTTGCGATTTGGATGGCGATAGCTGTGAAGCTTCGTGGGAAAGACACAGGCGGAGCCCTCGGTCTTGCCATCACTTATGGGATTGCCGTGTTGGCCGTCTCATGTCCTTGTGCTTTGGGTCTTGCTGTCCCCATGGTTCTGGTCATCGCTGGGGGTGTCGCTGCTAGGAGTGGAGTTATTATCAAACAAGCCAATGCCATCGAAAAAAGCTACAAGGTCACCGACGTTGTGTTCGATAAGACCGGTACTCTTACCGAGGCGGATCTCGCCGTTATCCACGAGCAGGTTTTTCCGAATCCAGATGCAACTCAAGATGAGGTATTCGCAGTGACCAAAGCACTAACCAAGGACATTCAACATCCAGTGTCTTTGGCGGTTGTCAACCACATAAAGGGAACGAGCACCACCCCGACCGACATCAAACAAGTCGAATCCATCCCTGGCTCGGGGATTCGTGCAAGATGGAAGGACTCCCTTGTCCAAGCTGGTAACCCGTATTGGTTGAATATTGAGGATCGGCCGGAAATTGCAGCGCTCATCGACAGAGGCATGACCCTCTTTTGTGTGACTCTGGACAACAAACTCTTGGCTGCCTTTGGTCTGAGAAGCAGCCTCCGGGACGAAGCCTATGCCGTCATTGCAAATCTCCATCGTCGTAACATCAAATGTCACATTGTCAGTGGCGACAACCCAAAAATGGTCGAGGACGTTGCGAGCACTCTGGGGATCCCGCTATCCAACACGGCAGCTCGCCGTTCTCCTGGCGACAAACAGGAATATGTTAAAGCATTGATGTCTTCCGGTAGGGTCGTGCTCTTCTGTGGTGACGGAACGAATGATGCGGTTGCTGTCGCGCAAGCCGATGTGGGTGTCCAGATTGGCACTACTTCAGATGTCACCAGAGCCACAGCCGACGTGGTCTTGTTCAATGGCCTGGAGGGTGTGACCGCATTACTCGACACCTCCAGACGATGCTTCCGCCGAATCATGTTCAACTTTTTCTGGTCCGCGCTCTACAATCTTTTCGCCATCTTGCTCGCAGGAGGGGCCTTTGTCCGCGTCCGCATCCCGCCCGCCTACGCTGGACTCGGGGAAATTGTAAGTGTGTTTCCGGTCATCGCTGTTGCGCTGTCGCTGTTGTGGACGAGGTAGATGGCCGGAAGTGAAGGTTCTCTCCGGTTGGGGGTGTGTGAGGAAAGACAGGGTCGAGGAGAGAAGACAGTTGAACTGGCCTGGTAGTCAGGACCAGGGACGAGTCAACTTATTCCAGAATGAGGACATTGATGGGTTTCTAAGAGCCATGGATGCGCGCGTGGACCACTCTCATTAAAATTTTCCACTCCAATATATCTATTCTACACTCAAGCCAGATTCAAAGTTGTTTCCCCGGCCACATGCCGACGGTGATGATGTGCCACACTCCCTCCGCGTAGTGCCGTTGTGTACTAGGTACGAGGTATACATAAATGCAATTCGTTGATGACGTTGCTGACGGACATGGCCGTCTACTTACTATACTTGGAGGCATGTATGCATTGCCTGTCAGCCTGTCGGTGCTAGGTGCCGAGTACAAACGCCTCGGGTTTGGTAATTTGAGGTTTCTCTCAAAGATCAGCCCGCTCTGCGTATCTGCGTCCCTGACCGTCTCATCGCTCGTCTAGATTTCCTCGTGGCTCGATCGATCGACGCGCGACCCCTAAGCAAGTAAGCAAGCAATGTCCTCCTCGTCGGCTGCTCCATCCTCATCTCTGCTCCGCGGCTCGGCGGTCCTGGTCATCTGGGGCCGCGTGCATGGCTACGAGGATCCGGAAGTAGAACGCCTGCTGAACGACTGGTGGACATATGAGCATTTGCCGGAACGGCTGGCGCTGCCAGGCTTCCACCGCACGCGACGGTACTACTACAACAGCTCGTCGCCTGTGGAGGGCGGCAGGGGCGACCAAGTCACGACAGCGAGCCGCTCCTCGAATTACATGGTGCTGTACGAGGTGTCGTCGCTGGTGGCGCTCACGTCACCCGAGTACATGCACGCACTCAACAACCCGACGCCGGGCACGAGGAAGTACATGCGCGTGCTGTCAGGCATGAACCGGTCGGCGTGCCGCGTGCTGGCGTCGACATCACGGCCGGAGTTCGCGGCCTGTAAGGTCGGCGGCGCAGGCGGGACACTTGGGCACATCGTCTTTGAAGCCCCTGCGGCGGCGGATACGCGCGCCAAGTTACAGGACTGGCTCTCGGGTGATGGCTGGCGGAGCCTCTGCGCAAAGCACTCCAGCCTGCTCGCCATGCACGTGCTCCAGCACGACGAAGCCGCCACCCGCTCGGGCAGCTCGACCAAGTCGTACGACGAAGTCGACTTCCAAAGGGGTCCCGAAAGCGCCGCGCTCAAGTGGATGGTGCTGCTCGAGATCACGGACCCTCTTGGAAGCCCCTTTGCGTCCTACGGACCCCAGAGCGACGATATCAAGCAGGGTCTGAGGAAGCATGATGTTGATTTGTCCACGGTGACGCAAGAGCTGTTTGGATTGTTCGTCGTCATGGAGGAGTAAGGTGGCCCCAGCTTGTATTCGTCTGGCTTCGGCGAGAGCATAGTCCGTGGAGTTTGAGGGTTCTGCATCAATGTACTTGAAGTGAGCGTTGGCACAGAACCGAGACAAGAGAATGCAGTGAGACTCTTGCTCCCTAGAATGGGACTGTGCTGTCTGTTAGAACGAGGGCGTTGCCCTGTAAATGGTTCTGTCGCTGCGTAAAACCGTCGACCTGCACGATCGGCAAGATTTCTCGAGAGCCAGCTGGGTCGATGTACTTTGCAGGAGTATCATTATGTATTCTCGTCCAGTCAGTTTAGGCTTGTCGAGTGTTATGAGCAGATGCGAGATACAGTCAGGGCTATTTGAGGGCGCTGATCGGGGTTTTCTGAGGATCAGTCTCTCAACCCAGCATTGTGGAAAACGGGGTTTATGGTGTGTAGGTGGAAAGAGGCTCGCTGGATGCAAACGGAACTGGGTGGTTTTGCAGGATACGGGTTTAGGAAGTTCCTGCACAGTCAGCCAGCAGGGGAGAAAGCTTCACGAGAGAAGTAAACATAGAGTTCACGTCGACAACTTTGGCTCATACTCTCATCATCACCTCAGCGGGTGGAAGAGAACAGTTTGCGCAGTCCTCCCCTCGATCAAGCTGAAATTGACTGGGCGACGTCACTGAAAGGCAGCAAGAAAATTACAGAGAATTGGGGGTGCGAATCTGACTTGACATGGGGATCTAGACTACACCATCCACCCATCTGCGCAATCACCCAGTGAAAGATAAGTGAGCAAAAACGCGCCCCCCAGAAATACCATGTGGTGTGATCTCATACAATTCCAATGCATCTCCAGGGATAAATAACAAGCTATGCCAATGCCCAATCTCGTCCCAACCGCCTTGAAATCCTCCGACCTGTTGCAAAAGATGGCCAACGTTATCCTCTCCATCAACGCCGGAAGCTCCTCGCTGAAGACGACGCTGTTTGTGGAGGAAGAGAGCGACGAGGGCAAGGTCAAGGGCCTCCGGCGCCTAGGGAGCGCGGAAATATCTTCCATCAATGCCCCTCCTGCGCGCCTAAAATACCTGCGTGGCTCCTACAAAGACACCCGCGAACTCGGCGACATCAACGACCACAACCACGCCTTTGAGCATATCCTGAACGCCTTTCTGGCTGATGCTGAGATCCCAGAGGTCTCCAGCAAGGATGACATCGACTACACGGCCCATCGAGTTGTCCAGGGAGGGAACTTTGAGGAAAAGTGCGCAGAGAGACACCCCACTCACACCCATACCGAAGTCGCGATAGATTTTGGACGCGTGGCTAACTGCTCATCAGCCAGTTCATCACCAAGAAGACCTTGAATAAGATCAACAAGCTGTCAGATCTTGCTCCCCTGTATGTACTCGAGAATCCTGAGCCCTTGACCCTGGCGAACTGCTGATTGCCATTCAGGCACAATGCTTCCGCGGTCGGTCTCATGCTGGCCTGCCACGAACACCTCCCCAATGTCATCAATGTGGCATGTTTCGATTCCGGTTTCCACCAAACCATGCCTGACTACGTCAAGAGCTATGCCATTGATCAAAAGATTGCCAAGGAAAAGGGTCTGCGCAAATATGGGTTTCATGGTCTGAGCTACCAATACATCACAAGAACCACCGCCGCGTTCCTGGGGAAGCCGGAATCCGAGACCAACATCATTGCCCTGCATCTGGGGAGTGGTGCTTCCATGTGCGCAATACAGAATGGACGTTCAATAGACACGACCATGGGCTTGACACCCGTCTCAGGTTTACCCGGCGGCTCGCGGAGCGGTGACATCGACCCGAGTCTCGTCTTTCACTACACCTCCGATGCTAGCGCATTGAGCCCAAACAGCACAAAAGATCTCCATATTTCCACGGCTGAAGAGATTCTTAACAAACAGTCAGGGTGGAAGGCATTAACGGGGACGTCAGACTTTGCAAAGATTGCCGACCCGAATGCCCCGGACACCCACAAGCTCGCGTTTAACATCTTTACTGACCGGGTTGTCGGCTTCGTGGGCAACTACTTTGTCAAATTAGGTGGCAAAGTCGACGCCTTGGTCTTTGCCGGTGGCATTGGCGAAAAGAGCCCCTACTTGCGACAAGTCGTGATTGACAAAGTCTCATGCCTCGGCTTCACCATTGACGAAGAGAAGAACAAGAAAGGCCCGGACGGAAAGGACGTGGTGGATATCGGCACCAGTGAAACCATGCGCACGTTGGTCTGCGAAACGGACGAAGACGTGAGCATTTCCAATTTTCCCACCGGACGATCTCTGGCTAACAGCATGACAGCATGAAATGGCGCATTCCGTCCTAGGAATGCTCTACAAGAAATAAAAAACAAGACGGACCCAGACGACCTGATGACGAACCCGCGCACGACAATAGACTTTATAATTTGATATACAAATTAGACCGGCCCGTTGCAACGTACCAGCCTTGTTTTTGCCACGCCAGTCTTCTGCTTCGGCTCTCTTCTGCCGGTGTTTTGCCATTAGTCACTTCAACTTGCCTTTTCTACTTACCGAATGAGAAAGCCACCAGATGCTTGATTGGCCTTTGCACGCCGAGCCTCAGGACTCGGAAATCCCTTTTAGGGACGATACATGCGGGTGCCATGTGCACAGGCCCAATTTGTCATTAGATCCAACCGCCATTGGAGTGACCGGACGCTTTCTAACGGCTGCCGAGTGAGTAAGAAGGTTTGATACTGCGCCCAGCCTTTACGACAAATCCTTGGGATTGGACACCTTGCCCAACTAAGGCATCTCGACCTTGATGCACAATGGCTCGATTGCGGAGAGCTTCTAAGCCATTGTAACACCAACCCTGAGAGGCTGGCACTCGTCAATCGTGCATGGAACAGCATCCATCGGCCCTCAGTGATTAGTAGTGCTCGCTCGCTGAAATGCACAGAACGATGACGACGACAGAGCAATACACCGGAGGATCTGGCGCAGGAGTTTCTCCTCTGCGAAGGAATGCATTGCCCAACTTTCAAACTATATAAAGTCACGGTTCTGCCGATTACGAGGTGAGTCTGCCAGGAGTTGAGCATCGTGTTGTTCCATTTGCAATTCTCAAATACAAGGCTCTCACGGTATCACGCAATTATGCATTTCTCTACATCTGTCTGGCTGTCGCTGCTGCTTCCAGCCCTGGAAGCCACCGCTCAACCTGTTGCTAAGCAAAATTATACATGCACAAGCTTCATGGTCAAGGTGCCGGTCAACAATGCGACTGTGGTGGTCCCTCCGATACCTGAATTCCCAGATCAATATGCTGCCACGGCATTTGCGAATCAAATCACCCTTCGCACGCCCTCTACTGCCGCACCCAACTTGACGACTCTCACAAAGACATTCAACATCAGTGCAGAATACTGTATTCCAGCCAAGCCAGGTCCAAAGGCCTCGACCTTGCATCTTCTCACACACGGAATCGGATTCAATCGGAGCTACTGGGACTTCTATCTCCCCTCGAAGCCCAATGATGCTCAGTATTCCTACATCAACAGCGCCACAGGTGCGGGATACAGCACTCTCTCTTGGAATCGGCTGGGCATCGTGCCCTCGACCCTTGCCGACCCCTATACGGAGATTCAGAGTCTCGTTGAGCTTGCAGTGCTCGTCAGTCTCACCACGCTCGTCCGAGCAGGGAACATCTCTCAAGTCCCCGTCCCGGACAAAGTCGTCCATGTCGGCCACAGCTACGGCAGCGAGTTGAGCGCCTCGCTCGCCTCAGTCGCCCCCGACCTGACCGATGGCGTGGTGCTGACCGGCTACTCCGCCATTGGCAATTACTCGACTTTTTTTGTGGCCAACACGGCGCTGCACCTCGCCAGCACGAATCAACCCAAGCGATTCCCCAACAGCACTTACTCGAACGGATTCCTGACCTGGCCAGACAAATACGGCAACCAATACTCCTTCTTCCAGTATCCGTTCTTCGACCCCGCCGTGCTCGACCAGGCTGAAGCGACAAAGTTCCCCTTCACCTTTGGCGAGTTCCTCACCATGACGGCCCTGCCGCTCGCCGCCCCCAACTTTACGGGCCCCGTGCTCTATCTCGGCTCCGAGGCCGACTTGATCTTTTGCGCCTCAAACTGCACGGGCCTGTTTGGTCCCGACAGCGCCGCGGTGCAGTCGTTCAGCGGCAGCAGCAGCGTCGAGACGTACCTCCAGCCGGACGTGGGTCACGGGCTGAATCTGCACCACAATGCCACGGGCGCGTACAATGTCATTCTCGACTGGGCTGATAGACATGGATTTTGAGAGAGAGGAACGACCAGGGAATGGCTGTACGTGGCGCCACCATAGGGGAAGTCATCCGAATTGTATATAATCAAGACGAGTACCAAAGGCGCAGTGGGGGGCGGGCGGGTAAGCAGTAATGTATGTATGTAGATGTAGATCGCGTTGGTAGCTGTCACTCTGACAACCTCAACCCAGTTTCTACCGTACTTCTCAGAGACTGAGAACGCTAGGTCCGCTAGCCACTTGAAATACTAGATTTTTTTAGATTTTGTTTGATTTTTCCCATTTCCCATTTCCCCTTTCCCAGGCACCCAGGCAACCCCAAGTCCGGAAACATGGTGAGGTCGACCAGCCGGGGGACGATTCTGTTCTCTTCCGCGTGCGATGCAATAGACCAGTTTTACTGTACTTGCTTTTTTTTTCTTTTCTTCAGGATTGAGTTTTTGTATAGTTAGTCATATTTCATATTACATATTTCTTTATGCTGGAGACGAGACAGACACTCCTAATCTACCTGTGCTTTGCATGCGCCCTGCCGTGGCCATTGCCAATGTTATTATGATTTGTCCCATGCTTGTCTAGGACTTTAGATTTGACGTTTTTTCCAATAGACAACAGACCGTCTGTGTCAGACTCGGCGGCGGCGTGATTGATTCTGTTCTCCTTCCTTCTTACCGGGTGTCAAGCTGTCAAGCTGGCTGGGGAGCAACAGTCTAACCGACGAGATATGTGGTTTCCGGACTTATCAATAACATGTATTGGAATCCTTTTACCAAATTCGGTCTGGAGTACAACTGGAGTACGAGAAAACTAGACGATGCAGCAGCAGCGGTGGGTGGCATCCATCACTCGAAGAGCGAAAAGCGAGACACCACTACCTCGTTCAATGTCAACTGGCACGGCCCGATCGTCATGTTCCTCTGCTTCATCCGGCGCCATCGTCCTCGCCGTCGGCCACCACGTCCTCAACCTCACACTTGATGGCAGACCCGTGTCCGCCGGCCCCGTGGAGCAACAATGGGTTTCCCGAGCGGGAAACGCGCTGGCGTACCTGGTCAAGGTGGTCCTGGTGCTGGCGACGGGCACCGCGTACGTCCAGTGTGTATGGCACCACGCACCGGGGGCGGCCGACTCGGCTCAGTCAATTCGATTCCATGTTCGGCGTGCTGGACAATGTCTTTGAATTCCACCATCTGGGTTTTTGAATGAAACGGCCGGTTTTGTTGTTGGTCGTCGTGGATGGTTGTGTGGTACGTCTGTCACCGATATATTACCATTGCCATTCCATACCCAGCATCTTCCCCCTTCTTTTTTTTCTCTCAAGATCTGTTATCTCAAAGTTCCCAAAATAGCATCCAGAATTCACGTGTACATACCACAGTAGTGCCCACAGCCATATCACTTATTGAACCTTTGACCCCGTGGCCTGCCAAAAACTGACCAAGTCCCGAGACAGGCTCATACCATTAGTCGCCATCATCCACGCCCGGCACCATCTCCGTCGTGTCCGCGTCGACAAGCGAACCCAAGACCATCACCGTCCCGCAGCGAGAATATGGCAAGACCTCGTACGGCGTCGCCATGGCCACGACGACCAACGTCACCGTGTTTTACGGCGGTGCACGGTCCTATCTCAAGGGACCGACGCTCACGATGCTAACCGAGACGGAGGTCCTGTCGGTATCAGTAGGCGGAGACGCATTTTCCACCAACTCGAACTTGACATAGTCGATGGGTTCTTTGGACCGGCCATATCTTGCTCGGCCGCTGGCGTGGAAGTCACGACGCGGTTGACGGACTTGGTCCTCCCGTATCACCAGCAAAAGCAAGTGTTGTTGATGTACGACGCCTGGGTCCCGAGACCGGCGACGGCGACATCGCCCAATGAGACTCCTCTCGTCGACGGCATGCTCGTTGTCGATCCAGACAGGAACAGCAACCTCCGGATCCTGGACCAGATTTCGTCCGACGCAGCAAGGATATATTACAGCATTGCCCCGGATGTGACGATGCAGGCGACGATGACAGCCTCCATCCATGTCATCGAGTGTACCCTGTAAAACACGTCGTGGCACCTAGACTTCGACGTCCGCACCACCGGCGAGCAGGTTCTCAGGCCAACCCTGCAATTTGAGAACTGGATGCCCGGGCGGAGCAGCATCAAACCACCTTCTCGCGCAACGTGTTCTCCTACAATAGCCGAGACCTTGTCGTTGCGTACACACTTGCGATAGGCGGTAGCGCCATGTGTATCCTCGTTGCCATGATTGCCATCTCTAAAATGGACGCCGTGTATTCGAACAGCTTCTCCACAGTCGTCCGCGTCAGCCGGAACCAACCCCGTCTCAACACCGTGATTTGCGATGACCACGACCACAGCGGAGCGCAGCCCTTGCCAAAAAGAGTGGCTGATGCGTATATGTGGATCGGTCGCGAGGATATCGTGAGCCGGGGAATTGGGCGAGGCCGCGTCGCGACGGCGGACATCTGGGACTCTGACACGGAGGAGAGCCGCTCGTGGTGGAGGAAACGACGGGCGATGGATCTGGAGCGACCCCTGCTCCTGGCAAGCTGGCTCAATGGAGTCAGCAAATCGACTCTTGGGCTTCTCACGATATTTCCTTCTGATCCCGTTGTGCTTAAGACGTCGCATAGTGAAAAGAAGGCACAAAAGCCCTCCAAATTCCATCAGTCCCAGTTCATAACCAGGTGGTTCTCGTTTGTCTGGCGTACTCCAACATTACAGACGACGTGGCGACTGAGAAGGCTGCCCAGCTCCTCCGATTCTGGGACAAAGCCCTCTGACGAGCTTGTCGCCGCGTCTCCGGCAGGTAAAATGCCTTCTTCGTCGTCATGCAGAGACCACCACCATTGGCTGCCACTCAGCATTCCGTCCTCATCGTCAAATTCCTCCTCGGTCTGTTGCGTGGTTACGCCACTGTCAATGTCCTCAACAGTCATCCGAGCGATCCAGCCCCATTTGCGCCAGAACCACCGCCTCACTTCCCAACTCCGCTTGTTCCAAGCCACGCCGTCTCGCATACTCCTTCCATAGTCTCTGTTGGCGCGTTCGCGTCCCCAGCAGACCAAGCCGTCGTGAATCAAGTTAAGGAAGAGGCTCATATGATCAAGTTTCCTGACACTCGAGAGGTAGATGGCCATACTCCGAAAGTGTGGGAAGGGGATGCAATCCAGGTACGATGGATGAGGAATGATGAGTTGGTGCGCCGTTGGTCGGAGGTCAACTGGGATAGTGTGGATATTGGCGTTGGAACTGGTTGAGAACGGAGAAGGATGGTCATTGATATAGGAGACGATTGAAATGCCTAGGCTTTGAGCGATCGACATTGTTGCTGCGAAACACGACTCTCCGACCAGCTGCAGATTGTTCTTATAGGGTGATGGGAGGGATGGCCGCGTTCGTGAGATGCTCCGAGACGCTGAAGAAGAAGAACGTGGCGCGACCTGAGGGGAGAACTGGAATGGCGACGCCTGTCGCAAAGGAGACAATGAAGGAGACAGGTTACTCAGCGGGCTCGTCCCTGGAACGACACCCGGTGGAAGCGTATATGTCTTGTTGTCGATATCGTCAGGGATGGGCCATGAGTGTCGCATATCAAGAGCGTCCGGGATTGGCGGTACGTAGTAATACACAGCAACTCCCAATGGAAGAATCGGCTCTGGGAGAGGGGTCGTATTGCTTCCCGCCTCATGGATGTCTGGTTCTGTCAATATCTCGTCAGGAAGTGGCTCTCCCAAGGCAATAGACGATTCCCTGCCAGTCTCCAATGATTCCGTCAAAGGGACCTGGCCCTCAACCGTGGACGGCTGCTGCGCATGTTCCCTCGCCCGCTTTGCCAACTCCTGCGTGACCTTCTCTCGGGTCGCTTCATCTCGACGATGCTTCTGCTTTTCGCGCCAGACGCGCTGCGATCGTCGATTTTGCTCTCTCCTTGCCTCAGTCAGTTTTCGCTTGTACCTCTCTGAGACCTTGGATTCCGGGCCCGCCGCAGCGGAGGATGAGCTCGACATATCCTTGTGTTCAGCTACTTTGCGATTTCCTCACGATGAGCGTGAGACAACGTTGGGCCCTCGAGATTCGCACAATGCTCGCAAGTCCTGCATGGGGAGAAGTGGCTGGCTGCACTGGATGACAACAGGCATAGAGGATCGAGTCCTATGTTCAACCACAGACCTATGATGATGCAGAGGTTCACATGAGGGCGAAGGACCGGGTGTGCTGTGATTGATGGCGAGCAGTCAGTGAGTCGTGGGTTTTCCGGACTCCAAGGTGGTAGTTAGATGAGCCTATCATTCTCCGTCTCCGAGTACGAATAGGCAGGGTACAGGTAGGACGCACCGCCAAACAGAGCAGACTTCCGCCTGGGCCTTTGGCCTTGGTGGCCTAGTGAGCCCTAGTTAGGTAATAGTAGGCTACCACGCCACCAACGCTACCTACATAGCATGCTTGCATGCTTAGGTCAGATGGTGTTCGGCACTCGTACATCTCATACACATCTCTACACAGATACGACTTCAGTAACAACTACAAGGCCTCTCGTCGTCCATTCCACTCACCATGTCGATCCTAAGCATCCAGCGAAACCCTGGCGGTTGACTTGACTGCACTTCTAACACTCTATAGCGCTCGTCTTCTTCTCATGACGACCACTACTGCTTCGAACCCGCTGCCGTCTAGTGCGCGTGCTGCACACATTCGACAACCTTTTTGCGATACCCGCTGAGGCCATGTCAGATGGCCCTCGTGAATCGCTGTCGACGTACACTAAAGAGCGTGTGAGATCAATATATCAGGACGGGCTGAAATGGAAAACCAGCAACACTATCGGGCAACCAAGAACTTTCGAGGCGCGTTCGATAGAACACGATGCAACAAGCGAGCTGTTTTACATCTTTTCGGCAGCGCAGCAAAAGGAACGATTACGACAAATGGGCAGATCTTTTTTCCGCGCCGTCCAGGAATCCCATGATCATGTCGCTCGGCTAGATGACAAGATTGCATCCCTGATGTCTTGCTGCTACGATGGCGTCCTGGACGAGGACTATATGGTCTCGCAGACTTGCGCATTATTATCTCGCATTCCTGGCACTCCTCCTCTGCACCGGGCATTGAGTTCAATGTTTTCAGGCCACAAGTTTAATTGGGGTTACTTCGAAAGTGTCCACCACAGCCATGTTCTGTTGAATCAAGACACTTGGGAAAAGCTCCTGGTAACTAAATGGATTGACTCAAACACCGTGAGAATTGCTTTGACCATTGTCCAGATGCGTGATGGGACGAGCAGCAACTTGGTGAATCATTTTCGACAGTACCTCAACACCCTAGCTGAGATCTCAGAGGCGACGTTCTCTTTGCTCTACCGCTGCAACGATGTCGTGGAACAACAGTCCTGGTTGCTGGCGTCAAGTTTTCTCTGGACGTGCTGGTGTCGTGGACTCATGCTTCATCTCCACAGTGCTCTCCATTTCCATTTGCGATTTGGCTACAACGTCGGGGCTTTGGATCGACTTGACATGAGGCAGCCGTTGCCGCAGATGGGTGTACTTTCGTCACCTTCAAAACCATCAGCATACTTGTGTCCCTGGGCGTTCGAGCTGTTACGATCTGATAGAGCATCTGTGAGTCAAGATTTCCGTCGTTTCCATCAGCGGTTTTCGACGCTCCACGGCCAAAAGCCAGCTCGGTGCTTAGGTGGTCCATGCCGCCCTTGTAACGGACAAGGTCCAACACATTGTCAACGCTTTACGGGACTGAAGATCGTTGACCAGTCTGCTCACGACGGATCCTGCGATGGTCAGTGTCAAAGTTTATTTTGGGACGAGGCGAGCTACCGCAGCGTCGCCGGAGCCAGAGCAGTGTCAATTATTGATACGAATGAAGAGTTTATTCGATACTGTCAGGCTTCTCGCAAGACGATAGCTGTGTCGCATGTGTGGGCTCATGGTGCGGGTGGTCGACCGCACACCGGCTTCAACGCCTGTCTACATCAGCGGCTCGTCCGAATTGCTCGAGAAAACGACTGCGACTCCTACTGGATGGACACGCCTTGTATACCGGAAGATCACCAACTTCGAGCCGAAGCGATCTCGTATATCAACAAAGTTTTCAATACAAGCAGCATCACGCTGGTGTGGGACCGGGATCTCATGTCGATCGACATATCTCGTCCGTCGATGGAGATCCAAGAGGCGATCCTATGCACTCTCCTGGTCTGTGACTGGACCTTGAGGTCTTGGACTCTGCTAGAGTCGATGCGTGCCCGCCACAACATTCATCTCTTGTGCAAAGACAACGAGACCGTCGCGCTGAGAGACTGTCTCCTCAATGTCCACCACGCCGGCGCCATCGACATTGCGACATTATTGCTCACCAGCCAACAACTTCTGCCCGCGATACAATACGACGGTGAAGAACCCGATGACGAACTGCAGAGACAAATGAGGGGTTACGTCCCTGTCGAGGAAGCTCTGCACCTGCTGGCTCGTCGACACGCGTCTAGACCAGGAGACAGCGTGGTCATCTTGAGCCTGCTCATTGACGACAAGCCAGTGTATACTGCAGAGGCATTCTGGAAGTCAAAGATCGGCCAGTCCTTATACTCGGGCGTACTATTCTCATCCCAGCCCAGACTCCGATGTAAGGGATTTGGATGGGCACCTTCTCAGCCAGAATTACCCCTGGCTGTTTTGAGTGGTGATTCTCCACACTCTCAAGAGTACCTGTTTGACGGTTCACTGTCGTGGCCAGCGATAATTACCCGGGACGGTCTCGACGCGACGTTTGCCACGTTCGAGATACCTGAACTCGAGCAAGAGTCGTCGGAGTCGTCGTCTTCATCCCCGCTTCAGCATGTCCTCACTAATCTAGCCCAGAAGTTTCCCTGGTCGGGCTCCCGACGACGTCAGCCCAGTCAAATACAAACTCTACGCAACCACTTCCATCTGGAGAGGTATAAGCACTCGCTACTTCTCCTTCCCGTCGTTGCGAACTCGTCACGCAGTGCCCCATTCAACGCGTACCGCGGCCGGTCGAATGGCTTGCTATTTGCCGTGGTGGGTTCACATGATGAGGATCGGCGGACGTGGCACTGGCTCGGGACTTTTGAATGGGACTTGACTTGTCCGCCTCTGCCAAAGAAGAGGAAGGAACGGGAGAAAGTGTTCATTGTCTAGCCATTCCTTCTCGTGGACACAACAGCGTCCGATGACCGCCCGTTTGTGATCGCGTTAATGCCAAGGCAACGTTATTAGGTTGTGATTCATTCAAGGGAGGACGGAATACTATGTAGGATTGCCCGTTTCTTGGTTTGTGATCGTCCTGGCAATGCGCAAACCTCGTATAAGGGTTCTTAGGTCCGTATCCGTCGACGTCTCCTAAAACCATCCAGGCTTCGAACCTCGAAAAAAGGCACTTGCAACCAAGCAACGAGTCTGATTGGTGCCAGCTCCCGCCAGCCTTTGCGAGGCTGAATCGCTAGCCAGGGGCCGTCGCGAGGGCCGAGTACGAGGGGAGGATAAGCCAGTCCATAAGCCACCACCACCCAGACCAAGACTATCCTAACCTTTGTACTTGTGACTTGTCTGTTGTCTATATAATATAGTAGACGAGTGAATAGTGAATGGAAAATATGGGATGCACCACCAACCGTTCTCGATGCTCATACCCCTCTATACTCTACATCCGAAGGGCCTGAGCTGGTCTCCTTTGTTCTTTTTCTCGATCCACTATCCACCATTCACCCATTCCCCATCCACCATCCCAGGACCAACCACAAGTCCCAAACTCCCACAACTCCCTGATCCACAGCGATAGAGGGTGGAAAACAGTAAACAGTACAAAAAAAATGTCCCCTACGTCAACACCCGTCCAACGGGTCTTTGCCCAAGTCCACTCCAGCTCGGGTCTGAGATTTCCCGAGACGGTCGCGGCCTTGCTCGCCCTGGGCGTCACGCGGTACCACGTGGATTATGTCGCGGGGACGACGACGACGTATGCACCGACATCCGCGGCCAAGAGGACGACCGGGTCGAGCCAACTTGAGAATGCAATTGCGCATGAGACCGAAGTCATCGCCACACCCACGCCTCTCCACACCACCACCCCATCCATGGTATTTTCTGCGTGGAACGCCCCCGCCCTCGCCCTCGCTATAGCGCGCATCCAAGCCAACAAAACGACCTACGCCGAGTTTTCGCGCGAGTGCATCGCCGCCGGCGTCGCGGGGTACATGGCGTTCTTGGCCGGGAAGCGGGTCCTATATTACGGCTGCGACGGAGACGTGCATGTCGAGTGGTTTCCTGGCGTGGGCCCCGCAACGCCTGAAAAAGAGTGAGGAGGAGAAGAGAAGGAAGAAGGGAGGGAGGGGGACGGAAAAAGGGGGGAAAGGGAGGGAAGACAAGTGTATCTTGTTTCTACCGAAGAGGCTGTTAATAGTGACGGTGGAGGTGGAGGTGGTGACTAGGTTGATAATGATCGGCATGAATGTTAATGAGATTGTTCGATGGCTACTTTGTCTACTTCGAACATCCAGAACCAATATCCACTCTATATATAGATAGCTATACTCTCTTAATTACTTGATTAGCTCATTTCTTTCATTTACATCCTATTTACATCATCGTACATCCGGCCCATCCACGAGTGACACGGATGACGAGACACCCCTTTTCTCTCAGCCTTACACGCGAGCGCACTCTCATGGACTGGTGCGGCTCAGGCCAAGACACTCGGCCATACCGTAGAAGATGTCAATGCTGTTAAAGACACCAGAGAACAGCTCCGTGCAAGGCCCGCGTGTAAAGACGGGCACGTCGGTCAGAGAGTGCACACCTTGATCCGCCTATAGCCAATGATTAGTAAGAAATCGTGCCAAAGCAAAAATAAATCAAAACTTACAGAAACAGGGAGTGAGCCGTTGATGATGAACCCAGTAACAGCATCAACATAGTTGACGTAAAAGTCCTCGTCAGAGAAACCAGTGATGTTGATGGCCGGCACACGAGGTCCGTTCTTGTTGACCCGGTAGTCCTCTCGGTGGTCAGGGAAAGCAGCCAGCCCAGAGTACAGCGTGTAGCGAGGATCCCAGTTGGCCGGGAAGTTGACGCCAGGGCCGTAAACCAGGTTCTGGTCGCTGCCGATAGGAGCAGAGCGGTTGGCGAGAACATATTGGCTGAGCCCAGAGTTCTGGTAGGTGCCGATGGCGTCACGCTTGTCACGGGGCGCTTTTTGCGAGTTGAGGAACTTTGTGTCGACAGAGCCCATAACGTCGAAGCCATGGCCGTGATCAGCGGTCACGAGGATGAGCGTGTTTTCCAACTCGCCTGCTTCTTCGAGCCAGGCAATCGTGGCCTTGATCGTATCGTCCATTTCGAGGAGCTCACCCAGGGCACGGTCATAGTCGAGCACGTGCATCATCTTGTCGATACTGGCGGCTTCAGACATAAGGAAGAAACCCTCATCTCCGTGGCGGGTCTGGAGAACTTCGAGAGCCTTGAGAGTCATTTCCTTGAGACCTGGTTGATCGGTGGCAGCTGCTTTGGAACCATCAGGGGCAGTGCTAGACTTGTTCAGGTTCTGTGGGTAAACATTTCGATCGAGCCACTTGGCCATGTTGTTGACCGAGAAAATACCAAGATGCTTGCTCGAGTTGCCAGACGCCTGGAGAGCAGTGTTGTTCAAAACGACGGTATAGTTCTGCTTGGCAAACTCCTGGTAGTAGTCCTTACCCTGGAAGGAGCCCTTGCCTGGATAGAACTGTTCGGCACCACCGCCAAAGAGCACATCAGGGCCGGTCCAGTTGGTCCAGGTATAGTTGGTGATGCCTCGGAGGAAAGAGTCAACGACGGCTCCGTATTGACCCCGATCCCGTGTATGGGCGGTCAGTGCGGCAGGGGTTGCGTCGGCGATAAAAGCGGTAGAGACAATGCCAACACCGCCACCCCTGAGCCGGTGGAAGATTTCAGCGATACTCTCGATCTTTGGGTCGTCAAATTTGTTCGGGGAGGAGTCAGCATAGACGCCCAAAGCATTGACGGTAGATTTGTGGCCAGAGTAGAGAGCAGTCGCAGAGTTGGCGCTATCCGTAATGAAGCTATCAATCGAATGCGTCATTTGGTGACCCAGCATCGGAAACTGGTCCATAGCCATCTTGGTCTGGTACTTTCCGTTGATGGATTGGTGACCAATCAGGCGCGCAGCTGCATCTTCGATTTAGCATCAAATCTATACCAAAAAGTCATTTGTCCTCACCAGTGATCATGTTCGTGGTCATGCCGTCTCCAATGAACATGACAACGTTCTTTGCCCGCTGCTGGGGAGAAATGTCCCGGACGGTCCAGTTGGCAATCGTCGTCTGTGAGCCATTCCTATACTTTAGGGTCGCAATATACTGGCCTGGCTCATACAGGGCAACATTTCGCCATGCCTTGGACGCAACCTTGACCTGCGACGGAGTCTTGGCCACCTGAGCAAACAAATCTTCGTACCAGGTGAAGTTCCAAGTCTCAAGCTTTGGTTCCGAGAGGCTGAAGAACTCTGAGATTGGCCGAGCAGCCCCGCCCTCCCGCTCGATGGTCAAAGTGAACTGAGAAGAAGCATTAGCCGGTGGCAACGATAGTGATGCTTGTGCAATAAACCCAAACGAAGCATTGCTCAGAGACAAGAGTAACTCACATTGGGATCAGGGGTGGTGTAGCCACGAATAGCCTCGCTTCCATTCAAGGGAGCGTGGACCTCAGCTCGGATATCGAATCGTTGGCCTGGGAGGAAGTCGGCTTGGTCGGGTGGAATGATACACCCCAAAGTTGGACATGTTCCGAGCCTTTGGAAGGTTTGAGCCGCGCAGTGGCTGCAGAAGGCGGCAACTGCCAAGACACTCTCTAAACCGAGCTGGAATCTCATCTTTGATACCTGGAAGACGTCCTGGACCAAATAGTTGGGGAAAAGCTCATGAGAGGGTTCAGAATTTCAACCCAGCTGTAGGAGCTTGCACCTTTTGTACCTTTCAGTCTAGTCTACAGCTCCTCCCAGCCTTCGACGGAAAGCAAGCTCTATTGCGTACGTTGCATAGCCCGCAAGAACTCGGAGAATCCATTGCCGTGCAGAGCTTCTGTCTCGTGGGATCCGTTGGTTTCGCACTGGCCGCATGGTATAGTGTAACTTGCTTCGATTTCAACTGCTTTGGGTAGGCGGAATCGATGCCAAGACAACGGGAGGGATGCCAAGCCACGGAAAGAGAGAAGGGGAAGATATTAACCACTGAAACTCCCCACGTGTTTGGTTGCTCGGCGGGCCGGGAAAAAGCTTTGCTGAGGCCTAGGGTTGCACACGAAGGGTGCCAAGATCAAGCGCTACAGGACATCCCCGTTCTGTCTGCCATTTAGTGAATGCGTGGTTAGACGTACCTTTGCCATTGGAGAGTGTGCTGTTCAACGTGGCAGCAAACTCGTCGCCAAGAGCGGTAGCGGAGGGTCAGGTCCATTGAAGCTGATGATACACGGAAGAAGGAAAGAAAAGGAATGGGGTGCCCGGACCTGGACATCTCGTGGTGAAAAGGTCAAAGCGGAGCTGCAGAAAGGAAGTTCAAGCCCCGAAGGCATTTGTCCGTGAAGGCACTCATAGCCAGCTTCAAGCTAGAGGAACAAGGGTTGCGATCTGGGAGTAGTCAACTCTGAGCACCCTCGTCTGGTACCTCGAAGCCCACAGATATCCTCCCAGGAACATCAATAGCACAAACCTTTTCAAGTAGTGTCGCGTTCTCAATATAGCTCTCCACCTCGTGGCTAAGCTCGTTTTTCGGTCGACGATCCTATCCATCATGCAAGTTCTCGGGTAAAGGCTCGAAACGAGCAAAAGCGAGATGCCAATTTGTCGAAAGGTTGGGCGTGTTGCCAGCTATACACAAGAAGAGTACCTTCCTGGCATGCGACCCAAAGTATGCAGGAAGCTGTACTTACATACTCGCACGGTGATATCAGATCTTTCAACTGGGTCGTAGCGAACAGACCGAGCTTTTGAAGGATGGCAGGACCGGCGGTGTTTGAAAGCGACCCACACATGTATCCGGCTCGACGGGTCAGACTGATTTCTGAGTTCCTGGTGCCATCATCCCGCAATACCAGCACGTCACACAAGCGACCCTTGGCTCCCGTATCCAAATGTTCATCAACAAATAGCATTGGACAGTGGGTAGCTTCGATCTGCAAGGCTGGCCATGTCTGCTTCGAGAAGCAAGCCAGAATTCTGCCCTTCAGAAGCTTGTGCCACGTTTGCGGGAAGGGGTGCATATGAAATCGTCGGACATGCAGGCGGCACAACGAGAAATCTGGGCGTTCATACTGTACACTCACGTCGACACCCTCTGGATTGTCCATCTCGAGAGTGCTGACATGCTTGTCACGTTACTCCACTGCCCACGTATTGCCCAGGTTGTTGCTTTTGCCACCAATCTTGCCTGATGAGGAAGTTGTCTACATTCCAGGTCACGAAGCACCACAAAGAGTGTCAATAGTCTTGAGCTGGGATCTAAGATCAGGGTCTCTTCCCTCCAACACTAGCGATTGGAGATAAAAAGTCCGTGGTAGAAAAGTCCGATGGAAAGGCAATGAAGCGAGTGGTGACTGAGATTGGCTTCGGAGCTGATGGTGCAGCGAGGCGAAAGAGATATGGGATTCTAGGAGTGCGGAGTGCTGAGGGCTGGTTCGTCTGCTATTGGTGGCAGTTACCTAATTAGCAGGATTCTGTAGGAACAGGGCCAAACATCTGATACGAGCAGTCAGATCCAAGCGAAGAATCTTTCGCTCCATGCTTCAGCTTAGTTGAGTAAGACGGGCCATGCGCTGCAGGTGCCGTGGACAAGATTAGATAGCCTAGGTCAGATACGGGGAGGATCAACCATATGGGTACGAGCAGACAAGGCCAGAAGCCAGAGAAGAATTGTGCTGTGAGGTGAGACAGCGAATTGGTGGCCAATAAAGTTCCCATTCAGTGGGTGAGTTGAGGTTATACGAACACGAGAAAAGGGGAGTGTGCACCGACTGCCGACCCCTCTCTCCCGCCCTTTGCCTGCGCCCCTCTCACTTGTACTCAGAATTTCTGCAATCGATTCCTTTTCAACCACATGTCATGTTCTGGATGTTCCCGAGAGTCGACAAACCTGTACCTGGACCCATTTAGCCCCAAACCGCAACAGCACGCCGATCCTATCCAAGGTCGTCCACATACGCCATGGCCAACACTCCCAATTCGTCTGACCCTCATGCCTAGGGCCTGGACCACCGGACCATCCAGCCGCAATTGGCACTTGCTCCTTCGATCGTCCTGGCAATGGCATGC